ATATATATATATATATATATATATATATATATATATATATATATATATATATATATATATATATATATAAGTATTATCTTAAATACAACTTCGCGAAGACAATATCGAATCAAATAAGAATTACTTGAGTAAAAGCCTCTTCACGAAGATTTTATATTACGATTATGAATTTTACTGATCTTAAGGAAATGCTGATTGAATAAGAGAGTCGTGATCAAACTAGTCTTAATCTCTTCACTACCGATGGCGAGAATTCTCATGGTTTAAATGATACTTGTTATCATCGTAGTGAAAGAGTTAAGTGTTGTCTTGAGACTTGACTATAGCACGAGCCATAGTAATTTATTACCGGTTGGATAATGAATCTATTAATAACCGACCTTACTAATTATCAAAATATCTAAACGTAAAAAAAATTATATTAAACAAATAGTATGTCGTGCTGCAACTTTTAAATTTTTTAAATAAATTCTTTTTTTGGATTTCTTTGTCTTTTTTATAATTATGTTATTTTTCATTATTTAACTTTTGAACTGTTATATCGATTAATTTTTAAGCAGTTTGTGAATCTATTATATTAATTTAAATCCAACGTTGTTGAAAAATCAGTTTTTAAACCACAAATGATAAACAAGAAGCGATGGAATGACACGAGAAAAATAAATAATATATATATATATTAATAATTAAGAATCTATGTGATTATTTGCAAAATGGTACAGAACTTTTTTGTTCAATTTGACCTAAAGTATAAGTACACGACGGCAGTCGTCGCTATTATAACTCATTCTATACCATATTCTGCATGATCATTTACAAGTTTTCTACAATTAATATCTCGATAATTATTGCGAATATCGCAAAACGGTATAGGACTTTTATGTTCACCTCAACCTCTTCTACGTCACCACAAAATGCCTGGAAGAGAGTGTGAGATACCCTGTATAACCGGTAAATTCTCAAGATCAACGAAAAGATCGGCATAGAATATGATGCGTAAAACAACAGCAAAGTCTTATGGAAAGGATATTACACTGAGCACAAACTGGTTTCTGCAACATGGCGATAATGAACTTTACACTGTGGAAACGAATATTGATGAGATTTTAGTAGATTATAAAAACGAAACGCAGAAGAGAGAATCGTCATTCCATATCCACTCTTCCAAAATAATTAAAAGCATCGGAGAAAATCTCAGATATATTCAAGAGAAATAGAAGAAACTGCGGTAAGTCTGTATAAATGCTGAAAAATCTCATATACATATTAAATAAGGGCATGGAAAAAATATAGAACTATATTGAAATATTTAGATATATTCATAAAAACAACAAAAACAATGTGAATATTGGAAAAACTAAAAAATAAGGAATTTGCGGAGTACAAATATTTATGAAAAACTTACCAAACTCAAAAGAATCGGAAAACGAAAATCACAAGAATCTCGATAACTGGAGAAATGGAAAAATCATACATCAAGTATTTCTTAATTTTTAGATTGTAGAAGATATTCAGATTTTCTCACAGAGCACAATGAAGATACTCTTTAACATTTGCTTGATCATGGTGTTGACAATTATAGCGATACCAATGGGAACATCACAACCTGCATCGCCGCCACGTCCTGTTACTCATGTGTCAACTTATCCCAGGCCTACTTATCCCAGGCCTACTTATACCAGGCCTACTTATCCCAGCACTGCTTATCCCACGTATACTACTCCCACATATACTTATCCCAGCCCTACTTCTCCCAGCCCCGTTGGTACTATCGTAGGTGTTCGTGAAAGAGCCACTACTTGTCCTACAAACTTTCGGAAAGATACAAATGGAATGTGTCGTGAGATGTAACAATATTACATGCATGTTGGTGTAAAATACAGGTACAATCGTCAACTTAATATTTATTATTTTTAATTAAAATAGATAGATAAGAAACTGCAACTGGTCGAATTAAGTAATGCAGCATCATATACAAAGCTATTAAGATTAAAAAGATTTATACACGACTAGAATATATAAATCTTTATGGGAAGAAGCTAATTTTAATTGATCATGTCACTAAATATCAACAATATGAAAGTATTTAATTTATTTTGTATTATTTTATATGAACAAATTTATTCTGAATATTATAAAGATTATATTATTCGATTGCAGGTTCCAATAATATTTCTATACAACAACTGCGAAGTAATAAACTCGAAGTAATGGAATAAGACAAGAAATGTAAAATAATATATAACATCTTATTAATATGAATAAATAAAAATTTTTATAATTTTTCATTGAACATGCCTGATATCACTACAAAGCTCCCTTAATTGTAATGTTTAAGTCGCCAAGTATAATTACTAATTCTATTTACCGTAGATAGAGGATTGTGTAAATATGATACTTTCTAACGCGGATTTTTCAATTCATACATATTTCTTTCCGTATTGCGATAAAACACGTTTATTCACTCTTTACTGGCAATTAAAAGTCATATTTTAGACATAGGACCATATTCACCGTTGAATCTTATTTTAAAGATCACCTGAATTTTGGTTTCAAGACGCTCTCTAGATACGTAATTTAATGTAATTTAAACAAAATGGTGCATTGCAGTTTACGAAACTGCGTCTTTGAATACGTTGTTCCTATTGAAGGAAATGTTGCAAAAATAGCTGACTTCAGAATATATAGGCATTATCTTAAATACAACTTCGCGAAGACAAGATCGAATCAAATAAGAATTACTTGATTAAAAGCCTCATCACGAAGATTTTATATTATGATTATGAATTTTACTGATCTTAAGGAAATGCTGATTGAATAAGAGAGTCGTGATCAAACTAGTCTTAATCTCTTCACTACCGATGGCAAGAAATCTCATGATTTAAATGATATTTCTTATCATTATAGTGAAAGAGTTAAGTGTTGTCTTGAGACTTGACTATAACACGAGCCATAGTAATTTATTACCGATTTGATAATAAATCTATTAATGAGCGACCTTACTAATTTTCAAACTACCTAAAAAATCTAAAAAAAATTATATTAAACAAATAGTATGTCGTGCAGCAACTTTTAAATTTTTTAAATAAATTCGTTTTTTTGAATTTCTTTATCTTTTTCATAACTATGCTATTTTTCACTATTTTAGCATTTGAACTGTTATTTTGAAATATGTTAAACAGTACACGTATATGCGCGGGGGAGTGGCCCCATTCCTCCCCCAGCATCCCTTCCCCAAAAAACTAACCCTAATCTAACTCATCTATTGAAATATGATAAAATGTACACATATATGCGCAACCTATTCTTTATATTTTTATACATAACTTGTCAATTGAAAACAATATAAGAATACAAATGTAAATATAGTTTGCGATATTTTAATGTACACTATGTGCAAAAAATATCGCAAACAGTTTTGTTGTTTTTCATTCTTGCTTTATATAATTTTCACAATTTATTTATAAAAATGTAAAGAATATGTTATGCATATATGTGTACGTTTTACCATATTTTAATAGATAGGTTAGGTTAGGTTAGGTTAGGATTAGTTTTTTCGGGAAACTGTGCTGGGAGAGCCCCTCTCCCGCACATATACGTGTAGTTTACCATATTTCGTTTACCGTTTACTTACTACACTTTATGTATGCTGTGTTGGTACTAATGTAAATTTTTCCGTTAATAACTTGTTATTAAACTATGACTGCCAGCTAAAACTTTTTGAACTTTATTTAGGGCAGTGACTTTGACGACTTTGACTTTATCAAGGTCAAGATTATTGAATCTGCCTCCTCTATGCTCAATAATTACCCTTATTTTATAATTACAATACACTTAGAACGTATCAATCACACCTGATTCACACAAAATAAATTTTATGCGTTGTATATGGACATAGAACATATATTCGCACAAGAAAATTTAAGAGTGTTTATCGGAAGTGGAAGTTATTTTACATAACCGGTAAATTCTCCACAATGTCAACGAAAAGATCCGCATGGAATATGCGTTGCGGAAAGCTACAACAAAGTCTTATATAAAGGATATTACACTGAGCACAAACTGGTTTATGCAATATAATGATAAATGATAATAGTAATAAACTTCACGTAATAGAGATGCAAGTTGATGAGATCATGGAAGATTATAAATACGAAACGCAGGAGAGAGAACAGTCAATTCACATCCACTCCTCCAAAATAATTAAAAGCAACGGAGAAGATCTCAGATATATTCAAGAGAAATAGAAGAAACTGCGGTAAGTCTATATACATGCTAAAAAAACTCATATATATATTAAACAAGGACATGGAAAAAATATAGAACTGTATTGAAATATTTAGATATATTCATAAAAACAACAAAAACAATGTGAATATTGGAAAAACTAAAAAGTAAGGAATTTGCGGAGTACAAATATTTATGAAAAACTTACCAAAATCAAAAGAATCAAAAAATAAAAATCACAAGAATCTCGAAAACTGGAGAAATAGAAAAATCATACATCAAGCGTTTCTTAATTTTTAGGTTGTAGAAAATATTCAGATTTTCTCACAGAGCACAATGAATATACTCTTTAACATTTACTTGATTGTGGTGCTGACAATTATAGTGATACTAATGGGAATATCACAACCTTTATCGATTACGCCGCCACATCCTGTTACTCATGTGCCAACTTATCCCAGACCTATTTATCCCAACCCTATTTATACCCGTCCTACTATCGTAGGTGTTCGTGAAAGAGCTACTACTTGTCCTCCAAATTATCAGAAAGATCCACGTGGAATATGTCGGGAGCAGGTGTAATAATATTACATGCACGTTGGTGTAAAATACAGGTACAATCGTCAACTTAGTATTTATTAATTCTAATTAAAATAGATAGATAAGAAACTGCAACTGGTCGAATTAAGTAATGCGGCATCATATATAAAGCTATTAAGACTAAAAGGATTTATACACCACTAAAATATATAAATCTTTACGGGGAGAAGATAATTTTAGTTGATCATTTCACTAAATATCAACAATATGAAAGTACTTCATTTATTTTGTATTATTTTATATGAACAAGTTTATTCTGAATATTATAAAAATTATATTATTCGATTGCAGGTTCCAATAATATTTCTATACAACAACTGCGAAGTAATAAACTCGAAGTAATGGAATAAGACAAGAAACGTAAAATAATATATGACATCTTATTAATATGAATAAATAAAAATTTGATTCGTTGAACATGTCTGATATCACAACAAAACTCCATTAATTATAATGTTAAAGTCGCCAAGTACCAGTACAATTACTAATTGTATTTATCATAGATAGAGGATTGTTATTGTTACCCGTTACACAATGAATAAAATAAGAAGTTAAAGTCATTATCGTTTTTTATCCCCCGAATTCTTCTTCTGCATTACATAAATTTTATTACTGTTATACAAAAAAATCGGTTAATTTATTAATGGATAATATGTAATAATTAATTAGGATTATATGTAATTTATGATTATATGTATTATATGTAATATGATTATATTAGGTTAATATGTAATAATTAATTAGAATTATATGTATTATATGTATTAATTAAGATAATATGTAGTAATCTCATAAATGTATGAATAAATATAAATAAACATGATTAATGTCAATTTTTGTGTTATTTTAGGTGAGTCCTCAGTATTACTTCAGAATAACTAAACTAAAATTTTTGCACGGCACAAGGAAAACATTCTTAATAGTTAATTATCTTGATAACATTCAGTATGCGCAATACCAATGGGAATTTTCCCAAGCGCTTACCATCAGATGTACCATCATATATCGCTATGCAAAAAATCCGGTTTATTCATGAATGAATAAACCGGTTTTTTTGCATAACGATAATAAAATTAATGTAATGCAGAAGAGAATTCAAAGGATTCAAAGCTATAAATAGCAGACGTTCGATGGATAATACGCAATGTATGTTTACTTATCGAAACGTACACTAGAAAGATTAAAGAAAAGTCAAGAAGTAGCGCATTATTTCAATCGTCGTAACGGTAAAAAATTATTATTATTAGCAACAACTTCTTAGTGAAATTCTTTTCTTTTCTTCTTAATGAAACTTTTTTCTTTCTCGTTGGTAATTGTAATGATAACGTATCGTTTCTTTAGGTAACGATAACGGATATAATTCTCGCTTGTATTGTTGGTTTGCGCATATAGAATACATGTACTTGCATTGGGAAGCAGAAAATAATATAAAAGAGGGCTCTTAAACTTGGTGAAAAAAGTAACAGAAATTGTGGAAATGACCTATTACCAGTGATATTTGTACGTCCGAACAGCATACTACAGCGTGTGGAGAGAATATACGCAAAGTAATACATAAGTAAGTGACCGTGTAGTGCCGTAATATCATTCACTGTTTTCTTATGTCATAGAAACTCTTGATAAAAGCAAATAATTAGAAGAAGCATTTTTCTAATAATACTTACTAAAACAATGGTTTTTCTAACTATTTTTGTACTTAAAATCACAAAAAGGTATAGTTGACGCCAAAGGCAACTATATTTTTCTCTTAGTGTATAAATGACATCACTGCCCGTTACTTCTCGAATAACGATAATAAGAACAATTTATTTTTGAGAATGAATCAAGATAAAGATAAAAACTTTACTTTCTCATCTTATTTATTGTGTAACGGGTAACAATATCAAATTACTTTTGAAAAGTTATTTTTTTCAATGTCAAATTCAAATTAACATTGCTTCACAAACTTCATCAAAATTAATCGATATAACAGTTCAAAAATTAATAAATAATGAAAAAATAGCGTAATTACAAGAAAGTCAAAATAATCCACAAGAAACAATTTATTTTAAAATTTTTAAAGCTACTAACAGACATATTATTTTTTTAATATTTAATTAATTGTTTAATATTTAATATTTAATTTTAATTCTTTTACATTTAGGTAGTTTGAAATTAGTAAGGTTCTGTCACACAGCATAATAATGGCATTTCTTCATGGTTTCTTAATGATCGTTCTAATAATCATCAATATATTTACACTGGGAATATCGGACAGCTTTGAAAGATCCCCAAAGTTCACCGCCAACCATCCTATATTTCGGCGACATTATACGTATCCAACTACATCAAAAATTGCATCAACACCTCTGATATACACTACTCCACGTATTATAGATACTTTTGCAAAAAGTGAGGTGAAATGCCCAAATGGACAAAAGAAAGACTCACAAGGAATATGTCGCGAACGGGCATAATCGTAAAATATGTAAACAGCACGTAAGTAAGTGATTATCAGTTTAAGATTATTCTGATTTATCGGATATTAAATTTTACACATTTACCTACAGTATTCTCACATTATATATTTGCTCGCAGGCACAAAAGTATTGATAACTTTTATGATACCATCATGAACTAACACAGATAATAATATAAGAGATAATTCAAGAGATTTAGGATAATATGTAGCGACCCACAGATGTATGAATAAATATAAATAAACATGATTAATGTCAATTTTTGTGTTATTTTATATGTTAACCTGTTATTATTTCAGAATAACTAAACCAAAATTTTCATACAGTATAAAAAAAACTAAAACATTATACGACGCCGAGTTTTATTAAAACTAATGTTATCATTCGATGTTTTCTTATATCATAAAAACTCTTGATAAAAACACCATACTATTAAAACTTATTATCAACATTTACATTATTTTTATGTACTGTACGTGCACATATTGCTCTGAAAATATTTATAAGGCATGTATAATTATCACTTAACTACAAAAGAATAATATAACTCATAAATATTAGAAGATATAATAATATAATCCACAAGCATTCGAAAATATATATACGAGTAAACGTAAATGATAATCATTTGACACATGTCGCAGTTTTTGGCATTTTTCTTGCTAAGCAATCCTTCGATCACTAACACAACTAACTGATAAATTTTAAATATAATAATATCGTATTGAAGACAGAATGTGCTGATTTATAAACACGGTTTTTCTTCATAGGAAAATAACTAAATTGATCAAACGAAAAAGAAAACAAAAGAGTATTAAATACAATATAAATAGCAAATGCCTAGCGAAAAATACCGTTATACGTCTTTATTTTTAATAATAACGTATACCGAAAATAATCATATTTTTAACGCTCATATACAATGTTTGTTGTAATAATGTAACGTAGAAAACATAACAAAGCTTAATTTATATAAATTACAAAAGGAAAATGATTTAGATATTCAGATACTTATTTTATAATTATAATACACTTGAAACGTACAAATCACATCTGAAAGAAGCAAGATGAATTGTATATGAGACATGTGATCATATACATATATTCACACAAGAAGATTTAAGAGAGCCTATCGCAAGTGAAAGTTACTTTATAAGCATTTCTTTAATATACCCGGTACATTCTACACAAGGTCAACGAAAAGATCCGCATGGAATGTCGCGTAAAGCAACAACAAAGTCTTATGTAAAGAATATTACACTGAGCACAAACTGGTTTCTGCAACATAATAATAATACTTTACGCAATAGAAACGAATATTGATGAGATTAGAGTAGATTATAAATACGAAACGCAGGACAGAAAACGATCAATTCATATCCACTCCTCCAAAGTAATTAAAAGCATTGGAAAAAATCTCATAGTGAAGAAAAATATAGGAAACTGATAACAGAAAGCGGTAAGTCCATATAAATGCTAAAAAAATCTCTAATATACATATTAAAAAAAGGCATGGAAAAAATATAGAACTGTGTTAAAATATTTTAATATATTCATAAAAGCAAAAAAATTGTGAATACTGGAAAACTAAAAAGTATGAAAATTGCGGAATAGAAATATTTATAGAAAACTTACCAAAATCAAAAGAATGGAAAAAAAACTGCATGAATCTTGAAAAACTGGAGAAATGGAAAAATCATACATAAAGTGTTCTGTAATTTTTAGTTTGTGGAAGATACTCAGATTTTCTTACAAAGCACAATGAAAGTATTCCTTAACATTTGCTTGATTATCGTGATGATATCAATGGGAATATCACAACCTTTACTGATTACGCTGTCAGGTCATGTTATAAATAAACGTTTCGCGGCGATTCCTAGACCGATTCCTACTGTCATAGGTTTACTTATGAAACAAACCGCTATGTGTCCCACAAATTTGCGGAAAGATCCACGTGGAATATGTCGGGAGCAGGTGTAATAATATTACATGCACGTTGGTGTAAAATACAGGTACAATCGTCAACTTAGTATTTATTAATTCTAATTAAGATAGATAGCATAAAAAACTGCAACTGGTTTAATTAAGTAATGCAGCATCATCTGCAAAGCTATTAAAACTAAAAAGATTTATACATGAATAGACTATATAAATCTTTATGCGGAAAAGTTAATTCTAGTTGATTATTTCATTAAATATCAGTAATATAAAAGTATTTAATTTATTTCGTATTATTTTATATGAACAAGTTTATTCTGAATATTATAAAGATTATATTTAATAAACACTCTTTTTTCTCTCTCGAAACAATCAGTAAATTGTCCATAAAGGCAACAAAAAAGATTCACGCGGAATATGTCATGTGTCAATATATAACGACAAAGGTGTGCAAATAATTGTCAGTTTAAGATTGTCAGTTTAATCTCACTTCAGATATATATCCAATATGCTAAAAGATCATGGTCTATCAAATTGACGATTCACATATTCATCTATCACACGCTCATATCCCGATAAAAAATTTTTCATGCATAATTATATGTAAAATTTGTCCATACATAATTATGTATAATTATATATAATCATATAAAATTATATATAATTATATAACTATTTATAAATATATAATTATTTATAATTATTTATATAATTTTACATAATTATGTATGAAAAATTATTCATTGGAATATTTCTTATTCGATTGCAGATTCTAATAATATTTTCATACAACAACTGCGAAGTAATAGACTGAAAATAATGGAATAAGTCAAGAAATGTAAAATAGTATACGACATCTTATAAATATGAATAAATAAAAATTTTTATAATTATTCGTTGAACATGTCTGATATCAAAACAAAGCCCTATTAATTGTAATATTGTAACGAGTAATCTTCGAATGGTTTTAGTCGGCGCTCATTGTTTGTTAAAAAGTTATTGAAAAAAAATTCTATAAACGGAACGTAATTTTGGTACATAGTATACATTGAAATATGGTAAGCAGTACACGTATATGGCGGGGGAGTAGCCCCACTCCTCCCCCAGCATCCCTTCTCCAAAAAACTCCCTCTAACCTTAATGTAACTCATCTATTGAAATATGATAAAACGTACACGTATATGCGTAACTTATTCTTTATATTTTTAATCATAACTTGTCAATGAAAAACAATATAAGAATTCAAATGCAGATACAGTTTGCGATATTTCAATGTACACTATATGCAAAAAATATTGCAAGCAGTTTTATTGTTTTTCATTGTTGTATTACATAATTTTCACAAACTATGTATAAAAATGTAAAGAATATGTTATGCATATACGTGTACGTTTTACCATATTTTAATGGATGGATTAGGTTAGGTTGTGTTAGGATTAGTTTTTTCGGGAAGCAGTACTGGGAAAAGGGCAAAGCCCCTCTCCCGCACATATACTTGTAATTTACCATATTTCGTTTACTGTTTACCTACTATACTTTATGTACGCTGTGTTGGTACTAATATAAATTTTTTTGTTAATAACTTGTTATTAAACTATGAGTGCCAGCTAAAACTTTTTGAACGTTACTTAGGGCAGTGACTTTGACTTTATCAAGGTCAATGTTATTGAAGCTGCTTCCTTTATGTCCGATAATTACTCTTAATTTATAATTACAATACACCTGAAACGTACAAATCACATCTGATTGACACAAAATAAATTTTATGCTTTATATGTGGACATAGAACATATATTCACACAAGAAGATTTAAGATTGCTTATCGGAAGGGGAAGTTACTTTATAAACATTCCTTTTATATAACCGGTAAATTCTCCACAATGTCAACGAAAAGATCCGCATGGAATATGCGTTGCGGAAAGCTACAACAAAGTCTTATGTAAAGGATATTACACTCAGTACAAACTGGTTTATGCAACATAATGATAAATGATAATGATAATAAGCTTTACGTAATAAAGAAGAATATTAACGAGATTATGGGAGATTATAAATACAAAACACAGGGGAGAGAACAGTCAATTCACATCCACTCCTTCAAATTAAAAGCATCAGAAGATTCAAGAGGAAACTGCGGTAAGTCTTCGTATAAATGCTGAAAAAACTTAAATATACATATTAAACAAGAGCATGGAAAAAATACAGAACTATGTATATGTTAAAATATTTAGATATATTCATAAAAACAAAAAAAGTGTGAATATTGGAAAAACTAAAAAGTAGGAAATTTGCGGAGTACAAATATTTATGGAAAACTTACCAAAATCAAAAGAATCGAACAACGAAAATCACAAGAATCTCGAAAACTAGAGAAATGGAAAAATCATACATCAAGTGTTCTCAATTTTTAGGTTGTAAAAGATATTCAGATTTTCTCACAAAGCACAATGAAGATACTCTTTAATATTTGCTTGATTATGATGCTGACAACTATAGCAATACCAATGGGAATATCACAACCTACGTCTACGATTATGTCTGTTACAAATAAGCCTTATATGTCAACTCATCCAACCGTGGCTTATACTCTCATAGGTGTTCTTCAAAGAACCACTACTTGTCCCACAAACTTTCGGAAAGATACAAATGGAATATGTCGTGAGCAGGAGTAACAATATTACATGCATGTTGGTGTAAAATACAGGTACAATCGTCAACTTAGTATTTATTAATTCTAATTAAGATAGATAGATAAGAAACTGCAATGGTCGAATTAAATAATGCAGCATTATATACAAAGCTATTAAAACTAAAAGGATTTATAGACGACTATAGAACATATAAATCTTTACGAGGAGAAGACAATTTTAGTTGATCATTTCACTAAATATCAGCAATATAAAAGTACTTAATTTATTTTGTATTATTTTATATGAACAAGTTTATTCTGAATATTATAAAGATTATATTATTCGATTGCAGGTTTCAATAATATTTCTATACAACAACTGCGAAGTAATAAACTCGAAGTAATGGAATAAGACAAGAAATGTATAATAATATGTGGTATTTTAATTTCATATTAATTTCATATTAATCTTAATTATATATTAATATGAATAAATTTCACATTAATATAAAATTAAATTAAATTATTTAATTAAAATATTATCTTAATTTCATATTAATATGAATAAATAAAAATTTTATTCATTAAACATGTCTGATAAACATGACAATAAAACTCCATTAATTGTAATGTTAAAGTGGCCAAGTATCAATGCAATTACTAACTGTATTTACCGTAGATAGAATATTGTTATTGTTACTCGTTACACAATGATTAAAATAAGAAGTTAAATCATTACCGTTTTTTATCGCCCGAATTCTTCTTCTGCATTACATAAATTTTATTATCGTTATGCAAAAAAACCAGTTAATTTGTTAATGAGGATAATATGTAATATTAATTTAGATAATATGTGGCAATCTCACAGATGTATGAATAAATATAAATAAACATGATTAATGTCAATTTTTGTGTTATTTTGGGTGAATCCTCTGTATTATTTCAGATAACTAAACCGAAATTTTTGCACAATAAAAACATTCTTAATAGTTGATTATGTTGATAACAATCAGTATGCGCAATATCAATGGGAATTTTCCCAAGCGCTTACTGTCAGATGTATCATCATATAAATTCATTAATGAATAAACCGGTTTTTTTGCATAACTAATAAAATTCATGTAACTTTTTTCGTTAATAACTTGTTATTAAACTATGAGTGCAAGCTAAAACCTTTTGAATGTTACTTAAGGCAGTGACTTTGACTGTATCAAGGTCAAGGTTATTGAAACTGCTTCCTCTATGCCCGATAATTACTCTTATTTTATAATTACAATACACTTGGAACGTACAAATCACACCTGATTGACACAAAATTTTATGCATTATATGTGGACATAGAACATATATTCACACAAGAAGATTTAAGAGTGTTTATCGAAAGCGGAAATTACTTTATAAACATTCTTTTTATATAACCGGTAAATTCTCCACAATGTCAACGGAAAGATCCGCATGGAATATGCGTTGCGGAAAACTACAACAAAGTCTTATGTAAAGGATATTACACTGAACACAAACTGGTTTGTGCGTAATGATAAATGGTAATGATAATAAACTTTACGTATTAGACGAATATTAATGAGATTATGGAAGATTATAAATACGAAACGCAGGAGAGAGAACAGTCAATTCACATCCACTCCTCCAAATTAAAAGCATCGGATGATTCAAGAGGAAACTGCGGTAAGTCCTCGTATAAATGCTGAAAAAGCTCAAATATACATATTAAACAAGAACATGAAAAAAATATAGAACTATGTTAAAATATTTAGATATATTCATAAAAACAAAAAAATTGTGAATATTGGAAAAACTAAAAAGTAAGGAATTTGCAGAGTACAAATATTTATGAAAAACTTACCAAAATCAAAATAATCGAAAAACGAAAATCACAAGAATCTCGAAAACTGGAGAAATAGAAAAATCATACATCAAGTGTTTCTTAATTTTTAGATTGTGGAAGGTATTCAGATTTTCTCACAGAGCACAATGAAGATACTCTTTAATATTTGCTTGATTATGGTACTGACAATTATAGCGATACCAATGGGAATATCACAACCTACGCCTACGTTTGCGCCTAAGTTTGCGCCGCACCCACGAAAACCTGTTACAAATAAGCCTTTTGTGCCAACTTATCCCGCCGCGGCTCCTACTATCGTAGGTGTTCGCGAAAGAGCCACTACTTGTCCCCCAAATTATCAGAAAGATCCACATGGAATATGTCGGGAGCAGGTGTAATAATATTACATGCACGTTGGTGTAAAATACAGGTACAATCGTCAACTTAGTATTTATTAATTCTAATTAAGATAGATAGATAAGAAACTGCAACTGGTCGAATTAAGTAATACAGCATCATATACAAAGCTATAGAATGAGTAAAGCTATCTCCTTCAAGAAAAAATGTGTCGTTAAAATCTTCACATATTTCATATATCATTTTTCTTTCTTCATTATTTAAATGTTGTAAGCGTAATTGTTTCTTTAATTTTTCTGTTCGTGCCGATTGTTTGCTGTTTTTCTGTTCAGTAAGCAGGTTTATTTTTGTTTTATCATCGTCCGCCGTTTCTTCTAATGTTATATACGGTGTGGCTATTTCCACAATGTTTTCGGTAGTTTTATTACCGTTGTTGCAGGGCAATTATGATTGCTTACTTTAATCAAGCAATTTCCAATAAAAATTCCTGGTAAAATCCCTTCTGCTGGAATAATTCCTTCTTTGTTTGAACTTACTGTAGCCTGTATTATGTTCCCGCTACGCGCGGGAAGGCTATATATTTGATATGGTATCAATGGCAAGTTTCGCCCGGAAATGTTCATAGTTTTTTCCTTATAATCAAACTTGGCATGATGTGCTTGTATGAAATCAATTCCTAATATTCCTTCGTAGTCTATAGGGAAATCGTCCCTTACTACATAGAATTCCATTTTTCGTTGCTATTTTCCTAAATTTACTGTAGCTTCTACTTTTCCTAATGTACAAGCTTGATGTCCCGTGATACCCGTTAGAGTTAGCTTTTCTCCAATCATCATCTTGTATCATCATCGGTGTATCATCTTCTAATGTCTTTATTTTTACTAGACTAATAGCTGATCCTGTATCTACCATAAGCGGAATTTTCCGTTGTTAGCTCCAAGGTTAGCTCGGTATGCTGACGTACTGTAGGCTCCGGTGTTGCTGACAGCAGGCGTTTGATGATCGTATCTCCGACGATCATCCTCGGTTCTGCTGTGGCGTCATTTTTTCCGGTTCCTCAGGTCTCCTTGATGTGCTTCTGATGAGACGTCGAGGTGTTTTCTCGTATTTGTCTCTTAGAGTTTTTTGCGATTCCCAATATTTGGATTTCAAAAATAGGGTCACGAAGGGCTTATAACTCTCTCTCTTTTTTTTTCACTCACTTGACCTTTCCTTTCTTTCTTTCTGTTACAGGTTTGGACACCGCGGATCCCACCGCTGCCACCAGTTTTTATTGTGCCCTTAGTAGCGCCGAGCACAACTGGGTAGTTGGGCTCCGAAGTTAACCATGCAGACAGAGCGGAATAGTCGCGGAGTAAATAATAGTTGTCAAATTTAATAAAGTTTCGGTTTGATTTATTTGGATTTTTCTTCTTATAACTCCTAACAACTTTCTTACTGTATTTTACATGTACACTTGTATATGTTTAACTTGTACTACACTGTTTAGATTAGCGTATCGCGTTATCGTTTTGTCGGACATTCACGTTACTCGCGAGTCGAAATCAAAAAAACTATTTAAATTAACTATTTCTTTAGAGTTCCGGTTTATTATACAATAGTTCTAGAGTTCTATATCATATATAACAATAGTTCTAAAGAAATAGTTGATTTTACTGACTAAGTGCGCTTCGAGAACTTAGCATACCTTTTTTTAAAAGTCTATATTTTTGTATTTAATGACCAGAACTATTTAAAATTGTTGCAAAGAGCTCTAGAACTTTTCAGAAGAGTATCAAAACTTTAAAAAAAATGTCACATTTTTAAATATGGTGTGCCAAGTCTTGGCACACCATATTCAAAAATGTGACATTTTTTTTGCAGTTCTGATACTCTCTTGAAAAGTTCTAGAGCTCTTTGCAACAATTTTCAATAGTTCCGGTCATTAAATACAAAAAAAAAGACTTTCAAAAAAAGGTGCGCTAAGTTCTCGCAGCGCACCTAATCAAACAAACTATTTAAATTAACTATTTCTTTAGAGTTCCGGTTTGTTTTACAATAGTTCTAGAGTTCTATATCATATATAACAATAGTTCTAAAGAAATAGTTGATTTTACTGATTCGAGTCGAGTATCTCATACCTGAGATACGTAACGCGCGCGCTCTTAGACTGGACAGTTCTGTGGAGTAGGTGGTCCTACCCTTTATATATTATTCTTGAAAGTAAAGTGTTAGGTTACCAGCCTAATTACCCAACAGATCAAAAGTGTAACGCGATGTTCTATGCGCGTGCACTTTTGATTTGCTTGCCGTGTTGCGCAGTTTTCGATTATGCAACACGTGCATTTCGGCTGCAATGACTTTCATCATGGTTTGTCCTACATAATACCGGTTTTTTCGTATACCGATAATAAAACTTATGTCGTGCAAAAAAAGAATTCAGGAGATTCAAAATTAATATAAATAGCAGATGCTCGACGGATAACGCACAGTGTGTTTATTCGTCGAAAAGATAACGTGTCCTAGAAAGATTTAAAAAAAAAGTTAAAAAGTGACGCATTATTTCAATCGTTGTTACTGTAAAAAGTTACTATTATTAGCAACAAATTCTTAATAAAGTTCCTTTTTTTCTTGTTGGTAATTATAGCGATAACGTAAGTGCACTTCTTTAGCTAACGATGAAGAATATAATTTTTACTTATATTGTTATTTTGGACAAAATATACATATCTGTATTAGAAAGCAACAATTGATAGAAGAAAGCTTTCAAATTTAGAGAAAAAAAGTATAGACATTGTAACAACATATTACTTCTCGAATAACGATAATAACTACTATTTTTTTTTTAGAATGAATAAAGATTACGATAATGACCTTATCTTCTTATTTTATGCAATCTGCAACGAGTAACAATGTCAAATTACTTTCGAAAAATGTTTTTTCAGATTCAATTTAGTGCAATAGCTTCGCAAAGGTTATAAAAATTAATAGATATAACAATACGTAAATTAAATAATGAAAAAATAGCATAATTACAAGAAAGACAAAATTATCCAAAAGAAAGGATTTTTTTAATTCCAAAAGAATTTAAGTTGCTAAACGACGCATCATTTATTTAATGTAATTTCTTTACGTTTAGGTAGTTTGAAAATTAGTAAGGTTCTGACGCAGCACAATGGCGGTATTCCTTCATGTTTTCTTAATGATCGTTCTGATAATCATCAATGCAATTATGCCAGGGACAGCGATATATTCGGACAGTTTTGAAGAACCACTAACGTTCAGCAACTCCTACTTTCCTATATCTTACACTAATTGTCAATGTCCACCTCCGATATATATATATGTATCACGTCCAACTACACGTCCAGCTGTAGTGCCACCTCTACCAGCTGCAGCTCCTATACCAGAAATTATAAATGTTCGTTCAAAAAGTAAGGCTGAATGTCCAGATGGACAAAGGAATGATCCACACGGAATGTGTCGCGTTTACTAAGGACAAAAAAGGTTAAAATCACAAAATATGTGATTTGCATGTAAGGTAATTATCAGTTTACTAATATCAACTATATATACGATATGTATAATTATATAAGAAAAATTCTGATTTATCGGAATTTGAATTTTTTACATTTACCTCTAGTATTCTCACCTTTTATATTTACTTACAGGTCCAAAAGTACCAATAACTTTCATGATATTATCACTCTTTTTCAAATAAACTACTACAGAGATAATGAGATAATTTAAGAAATACAGGATAATATGTAGTAACTGTCATAGATGTATGGATAAATATAAATAAACATAATTAGTGTTGATTTTTGTATAAATCCTCTGTATTACCTCAGAATAACTAAACCACGATTTTAACACAATAAAGGCACTCTCCACAGTTTCTTAATAATTATGTCAATGACAGTCATTGTGCTCAATGCCAATGGAAATATTCCAAAGCGTTTACCGTCAGATATACCAACTACTCCGAATTTTATTAAAAATAGTATTAATAATATTATTATTAGTGATTTAATATAATTAATATTATATTATATTATATTACATCATATTATATTATATCATATGATATCATATTATATTATCATATAATATTACATTATATCACAAGTAAAGAAAAAAGTATTGGCGCGCGTGAATTTTCAAATGGCATAATGAAAGCATTCCATTGTGTTTTCTTAATATTTGCGCTAACAGTAATGAATATATTCACACTGGCAACATCTGAACGTATCCAAATAGAGATAACTACATCAATTACATCTGATTCCAATAAAACAATTCAACATATTCAATAAATACTGATATATATCATATTCATATCAATATCTACATTTAGTAAATATGTTTCATTGGAGTCAGATGTAAATGATGTAGTTATCTCTATTTGGATGCGTTCAGATGTTGTCAATGTGAACATATTCAGCGCATTAGATGGTACTCACGTCATAAACACACTTCTTAAGCAAAATATTGATTGCCCGAAAGACCAACGAAAAGATCAAGGTAATGTGGTAAGTAGGTATGCTAAAAGGATTCAAATAAAGTCGAAAAGTAAGGCATTAGTAACGTTGTTATCACATTACGCGTTACTCTTTTTTTGTAACAACTTACTAAGAGAAATATTTTTTCCCTCTTGCGTTAGTAATTGTAAAAGTAATTACGTTTCTATGGATAATAACAATGAATGTAATTGTTACTTTTTTTGTTATTACTATACGTATGTAAAATATATATGCATAGGTTCAGCGATAGTAAATCGTGCAAACAGTGTCAAAATTTCGTGAAAATATATCGGAAATTTCAATGACCCGTTCTAGAATAACAAAAACGTTAAAACACATTTATTCACTTTTCACTAGCATTTAAACGTTATCTCATATACATAGAGCTGTATTCATCGTCGAATCTTTTTGTGAAGATTATATTAATTTCGGACACTTACAAAACGCTTTCAAAGTTCATAATTTAATGTTAAACAAAATTGCACATACGAGTTCATAAAAGTGTGCTTGGAATATATTGTACCTATTGGAAGAAATAACAGAAATGTTACAGAAACATCTATCTCGAGAATAAGCATAGTCTTAGACGATATCAAATCAAATAAGAATTACTTGAGTAAAAGCATCCTCGCGAAGATCATTTTATTGTACGAGTATGAATTTCAAGGAAATCTTGAAGAAATGCTGATTGAGTAAAAGAGTCTTGATTAAATTAGCCTTAACCCCTTCATTAACGATGACAAAAACTCTCGTGATTTAAATAATGATAATTCTTGTCATTGGTAGTGAAAGAGTGTTGTCTTGCGACATGACTATGAACACGACCCAGAGTAATTTATTGTCTGTTGGATAATGAATTTATTTATTACTTAGGAAGCCGGTTTTTTCGTATACCGATAATAAAATTTATGTAATGCAAGAGAAGAATTCAGGAGATTCAAAATTAGTATAAATAGCAGACGCTCGACGGATAACGCACAATGTATTTATTCGTCAAAAAGGTAACGTATCCTAGAAAGATTTTAAAAAAAAGTTAGAAAGTGACGTATTATTTCAATCGTTGTAACTGTAAAAAGTTACTATTATTAGCAACGAATTCTTAATAAAGTTGCTTTTTTCTCTTTGGTAATTGTAGCGATAACGTAAGTACGTTTCTTTAGCTAATGAAGAACATAATTTTTACTTATATTATTATTTTGGGCATTGTTATTGTACTTATATTGTTATCTTGGGCAAAATATACATACCTGTATTAGAAAGCAAGAACTGATAGAAGAAAGCTTTCAAATTTAGTGAAAAAAGATACAGAAATTGTAACAACCTATTACTTCTCGAATAACGATAATAAGTACTATTTTTTGTTGTTAGAATGAATAAAGATTACAATAATGACTTTATCTTCTTATTTTATACAATCCGTAACGAGTAGCAACGTCAAATTACTTTCGAAAAATGTTTTTTTTCAACGTCAGATTTAACTTAGTGTAATAGCTTCGCAAAGGTTATACAAATTAATAGATATAACAATACGTAAATTAAATAATGAAAAAATAGGATAATTACAAGAAAGACAAAATTATCCAAAAGAAAGGATTTTTTTAATTCCAAAAGAATTTAAGTTACTAAACGACGCATTATTTATTTAATGTAATTTCTTTACGTTTAGGTAGTTTGGAAATTAGTAAGGTCCTGACGCAGCACAATGGCGGCATTCCTTCATGTTTTCTTAATGATCGTTCTGATAACCATCAATGCAATTATGCCAGGGACAGCGATATTTTCGGACAGCTTTGAGGAACCACTAACGTTCAGCAACTCCTACTTTCCTATATCTTACACTAATTGTCAATGTCCACCTCCGATATATATATATGTATCATGTCCAACTACACCAACTCGAGTGTCACCTGTAGCAGTGCCTACACCAGCTATTATAAATGTTCGTACAAAAAGTAATGAGGAATGTCCAGATCGACAAAGGAAAGATCCACACGGAATATGTCGCGTTGACCAAGGACGTTAAAATCACAGAATATGTGATTTGCATGTAAGCAGGTAATTATCAATTTAGGATTTACTAACATCAATTATATATACGATATGTACAATTATATAAGAAAAATTCTGATTTATCGGAATTTGAATTTTTTACATTTACCTATAGTATTCTCACATTTTATATTTACTTGCAGGTCCAAAAGTACCAATAACTTTCATGATACTATCACTCTTTTTCAAATGAACTACTGCAGAGATAATGAGATAACTTAAGAAATAATATGTAGTAACTGTCACAGATGTATGGATAAATAAGCATAATTAATGTTGATTTTTGTGTAAATCCTTTGTATTATCTTAGAATAACTAAACCACGACTTTAACACAGTGCAATAAAGGCACTCTCCATAGTTTCTTAATAATTATGTCAATAACAATCATTGTGCTCAATACCAATGGAAATATTCCCAAGCGTTTACCGTCAGCTGTACAAACTACGCCGAATTTTATTAAAAATAGTATTAATAATATTATTATTAGTCATTTAATATAATTAATATTATATTATATTATATTATATTATATCATATTATATCATCATATAATATTACATTATATCACAAATAAAGAAAAGTATTGGCGCGTGTGAATTTTCAAGTGGCATAATGAAAGCATTCCATTGTGTCTTCTTAATATTTGCGCTAACAGTAATGAATATATTCATACTGGCAACATCTGAACGCATCCAAATAGAGATAACTATATCATTTACATCTGACTCCAATGAAACATATTGAATAAATGCAAATGCTGGTATAAATCATATTCATATCAGCATCTACATTTTGCGAATATGTTTCATTGGAGTCAGATGTAAACGATGTAGTTATCTCTATTTGGATGCGTTCAGATGTTGTCAGTGTGAACATATTTATTACTATAAGCGCATTAGATGGTACTCACGTCATAAACACACTTCTTAAGCACAATATTAATTGCCCGAAAAACCAATGAAAAGATCAAGGTAATATGTGCTAAAAAGATTCAAACAAAGTCGAAAAGTGAGACATTAGTTACGTTATTATCACATTACGCGATAATCTTTTTTGTAATAACTTACTAAGAGAAATATTTTTTCCCTCTTGAGTTAGTAATTGTAAAGGTAATTATGTTTCTATGGATAACAAAAACGAATGTAATTGTTACTTTTGTCATTACTATACGTATGTAAAATATATATGCATAGGTTCAGCGATAGTAAATCGTGCAAATAGTGTCAAAATTTCTTGAAAATGTTACGGAAATTCCCATGACTCGTTATTTCTAGAATAAAAATTACGTTAAAACATATTTGTTCATTCTTTACTAGCATTTAAACGTCACCTCTTATACATAGAGCTATATTCATCGTCGAATTATTTTTTGAAGATTGTATTAATTTTGGACACTTATAAGACGCTTTCTAAGTTCATAATTTAATGTTAAACAAAGTTGCACATACGAGAACATAAAAATGCGCTTCGAATATATTGTTCCTATTGGAAGAAATAACAGAAATGTTACAGAAACATCTGTCTCGAGAATAAACATAGTCTTAAGTACGTCTTCGCGAAGACGATATCAAATTATATAATATCAAATTAAATAAGAATTACTTGAGAGAAAGTCTGTTCACGAAGGTCGTATTACGATTACTAATTCTACCGATCATCTTAATGATCATCAAACTAGTCTTAACGATTTTGCGGTTGTAATTGATAATTATTCTCGTCATGGATAGTGAAGGACTCAAGTTGTCTTGAGACTTGATTATAAACACAAGAATAATTTGTTGCTTGATTGAAGATAAAATATTAAAAAGGAAACCGGTTTACTTATATGACAATAATGAAGTTTATATAATGCAGGAGAGCTGATGGGGGATTAGAAAATACTATAAGTAGCAAACGTTGGAGAATGTACAATGTGTATTTCTTCGTCGAAACGGTAATGTGTACTAGAAATTCAAACATAGTTGTGAAGTGACACGTTATTGAAATCGTCATTATCATTAAAAATTACTTTTTTGTAGTAACGACTTGTTAATTATTGAAATTATCTCTCTTTTTTTCGTTAGTAACGGTAAAGCAATTACGTTTCTTTAGGTAATAATAACAAATATAATTCTCACTTGTATTGTTATTTTCCTCACATAAACAATATACATAAATAGTATATGTAAAATACACGTACCTGTAGTGGAAAATAAGAAATGATAGAAGACGACTCTTAAACTTGGTTATAAAGTAACAAATTGTAACAACCCGTTATCTCTCGAATAACAATAATACGAACAATTTATTTTTGAGAACAAATAAAGGTAACGATAATAATTTTGCTTTTTTAGTTAATTCATTGTGTAACAATATTAAATTACTTTTAGAAAGTAATTTTTCGAACATAACATTCAAATTAGTGTAATAACTTCACAAACATTATAGAAATTAATTGATATAACAGTTTGAAATAGAAAATAAGATAATTATAAAAAAAATGAACCAAAAAAAGAATTTATTAGATAATTTAAGATAATTATTAAAAAAAATGATCCAAAAAAACAATTTATTTAAAATTGCGAAAAAATTTAAAAGTTGCTAAACGACGTATCATTTGTTTAATATAATTTTTTTACATTAGGGTAGTATGAAAACTAGTAAAGTTGTGACAATGACGGCATACCTCCATGCTTGGTTGATGATCGTTCTGATAATCATAAATATAATTACGCTGGGAACAGCTTGTGGGTACAATTGCAGAAGACCACCAACGTTCAATGCCAACAATCTTCCTACATATAACACTTATCGTTGGTATCGTTGGTATCCCGCTTCACAACGGACGTATTTACCAACGCGGAGACCTCAATTCGAGACCAGGTACCAGATATCAGTTGTAAGAAATAAGATGCAATGTCCACTTGGACAACGGATAGATCCAAACGGAATGTGTCGCTATCGGGCATAACGTTAAAATCAGAATATGTGAACTGCATGAAAGCAGGTAATTATCAATTTAAAATTAATTAATCTTAACTATATATATGTATATATATATATATATATATATATATATATATATATATATATATATATATATATATATATATATATATATATATATAT